CGACGAATACCGCCGCCGCCGCTCGTACGGATCTTCTCCCATTGCTCCGGTCGTCGTACCACCCCCTAAAGAGGGCTACTGGGGATACGTTGTGCATGTGTTTTTGTGTTTCTACCCGTGGTATGTGAGTTGTTGGCTAGAAAATCAAGTAGAAAGACCACAATGGCAGCCAACCATGGTGGCCACCGCCCAAATCTGACTTCGTATGAGGAACTTATGATTTTTCGAAGTTTCAGCTTAGCAGTCTACAACCCGGAGTTCGAATATTAGATCGAGCAGTTTCTAGCTGACACAACCTAAACGAGAATCGATGATCTCGTTAATAGGAGCGTAACGATAAAAACACATACGAAAACGGATGTTGGATAAAGAAGTTATGGATTTTTAACGGACCAATCGTGTCCCGGCCTGTTAAAAATATAAATTTAAAATAAAGTCAAAATTAGCTGACGGAGTCTAAGAGAAAGTTGTAGAGTACGTTCCCGCCTACGTGTGGATATAAGGAACATCGAAAACGGAGCCTATACATAAAAGATATGAAATTTTCAAATCAAGTATGCAAATTGCGAAGGCTGTGCGAAGGGTACGTCCAACGTAGGGCTTCGGATGCCCAATGTTCTCTTTACGCCTCGCGTACGAAGTTCGTAACGCCTCGCATTCTCTTCTATGAGCCGAAGGATGCCACTTCGCACCATCGAAACCTTGCCACTTCTTATACGAAGCCAACCGGTGACTATATCCGAACTACGCCCCGCGTAGTGATGTACGCCCAACATACAACCAAAGGCCCGTGCCTATAAATAGGCTGTGAGGGTTGCCGAAGAAATCACACCAAAATGACTTCTCTCTCTAGTTTCTTTCTCTCTATTAGATCCCTAACCCTCTCCTAAGCCTAGGTAAACCCCCTAGCACCTGAAGGAAGCCCCAAGGCTCCCGAGTCCCGGGAAAAAGGGTCTTTCAGTTCGGAAACGCTGCTCCAAGCGAAGCCCGGTTTTCTACAAAACCCGTTGTAAGTGAGCTACGCCTACACTATTTTTAATATAGATTTTATTTAATAATAGTAATGTTATTAGGACCTTATAATAGTAATAATAGCTAGACTATTAATTAGTCTCGGTGAATACTAGACTAAACTCTAGTGGTAATGATACTAGGTTTTGTCAGAGGAAAATTGTGTTAAGAGTAACGGAGTGTTATCCGAGTGCCGAGTCACGACCCTTTCAAGTGAGTGCATGGTCCCTTTCATCTTACACATACATATGAAGTATTTTATATACATATTACTTGAATACTTGTTGTTTATGCTGGATGAACGATTTTATATATGTTTTAAATGATTTAAACTGTATACGTATTTTATGTCTACAAAATGTGTTGGGTAGAACATGGGTAGATTAAAGATGAGATAAGTGATGAGCGATGAAAGATGAGATGAATGACGAGCGATGGTATAAGTGGTAAAATATGGTGAGAAGTGATGACCTAAGTGATGAGCCAAAGCGATGATCCAGAATGATGAGCCAAAGCGATGAGCCAAACGATGAAGTAAGCGATGACCCAAGAGATGGCCCCGTCATCTTGAAGAGTATGGATGACAACCATGGAATATTCTAGACAATCCAGTGGAACACTAGCAGGCTCGCAACCTGTAGGTGTTGTGAACGATGTGTTAATTGGTGTACTCTAAAACCCTTTTGACATGTATTGCGAGCAGACTCTCGAAAACGATATTGTCAATAAACGAGATAAACCTCGGCGACTATGGAGTTAGCGCCTGTTAAGTAAACCCTGAAGACTATGGAGTTAGCGTCTGATGAGCAAACCCTGGCAACGATGGATTTCGTGCCTATTCATTAGGATAATCCTTAGGAAAGAATGAACGAGGAATAACTAATTCTTAGGGTAAATCCTTAAGAGTAAAGAAGATAATGGGGATGGGTAATTGGGTTTATTGTTTGATGATTAAACATAATAGTTATATTATTGTGAGTTGAAAACCCTATGTACTCATAAGGTTTCCCAACCTGACCCACTCAGTTTATTTATATCACAGGTGTCGATATGAAGTCACATTACACTGAGAGATTAAGGAGATATAAATCACTAGTGATAATGAATGTACGTTTTATTTATGCTTATGTTTCTGTACTGACGATGACATCCCAAATGTTTTAAAATGAATAAAAATAATTTTCTTCGGAAATGCTATGATAACGTATTTATCATGTTTTACTGAGAACAAATTCTGCAACATTTTTATTAAAAGAGGTACTCTGATTTTTATAAAGCATAAACAAAATCGATCTTTTCTGGCCGAGAAAATGGGGATGTCACATCTACAACCGATCAAATGGATGAGCATCAGGATCATCTTACTATGGTTGTCTAAAAGTTGAGGCTCTGTTCTGCAATAGAAAAGTGTATTTTCGACCAAGATTTGGTGGAGTATTTGGGTCACATCGTGGAAAAAGAGGGTGTCATGGCTGATCCGACTAAAATCTCAGCCATGACTACATGGCCGGTACCTAGAACCATTCGCGAGTTACAAGGATTCCTTGGTTTAACATGTTATTATCATAAATTTGTTCAAGGATACGGAAAAATCGCAAAGGATTTAACGGATCTACTTAAAAAACCAGTTTCACTGGAACGAGGAGGCGACACAAGCATTCCAGAATTTGCAAGACAAGATGACACAGGTTCCTATTTTGGCACTTCCTGATTTCACGAAGGAGTTCGTAATCGAAACAGACACTTCAGGGCATGGTTTAGGGGTTGTACTGATGCAAGGAGGGCGTCCTATGGCATATTTTAGTCAGGTGTAAGGCGTATGTGCACAACAGAAGTCGATTTATGAAAGACAACTCATGAAGATCGTGCTGGCAATCCAAAAATGGCAACCTTACTTATTGGGTCTCCGCTTTATAGTGATTACAGATCAGCGAGCTTTAAAATACTTGTTAGAACAGAGGGTGGTGTCTGGTGGACATCGGAAGTGGATTTTTAAGTTATCTAGTTAGGATTTTGAAATTTTATATAGGCCTTGGAATGAGAATGGAGCAATCGACACCTTGTCCAGAAGATGAGAGGGATTTAGATTGAGAGAGCTCACGATAACCCGACCCAACAACTAGGAGGAGTTATTACGCGAATTAAAACATAGCTTAGAAGTGATAGCCATTATTCGAAAGATAGAGGGTGGAGATGCAATAATGGAGGGTTATGAAACAAAAAAAGGGTTGGTGTTTTACCAAGGACGCTTGGTATTACCTCTACAGTCTCCTTGGATTGACTGTTTGCTCCAAGAAAGTCATGCTGGGTGATTGGGGGACATGAGGGTACCTAGAAAACCTATCGTTGGCTAGCAAGGGAGTTTTATTGGGTTGGTATGCCTCGAGATATAGCGGTACGGGTCACCAAATGTGTTGTGTGTCAGCAAAATAAGTATTCAAACTTGGTTCTGGCAGGCTTATTACAACCATTGGATCTGCCTAAGCGAATTTGGAAGATTTAAGTATGGATTTTGTTCAAGGTTTACCAAATTCGGAGGGTTATAGCATGATTATGGTGGTGGTTGATCGTCTCAGTAAGTCTACTCATTTTATGCCTTTAAAAAATCTATTTCCTGTAACGACGGTAGCTAATGTTTGTATTCAAGAGGTTATATGATTACATGGTGTTCCCCAATCAATGATTTCGGACAAAGATAAAGTTTTTTTTGATCCGCTTCTTGAAGGAGTTATTTCGGATTCAAGGCACCACGTTGAAGTATAGTACTGCTTATCACCCGCAAATCGACAAACAGTTGAAAATGGTGAACCAGAGTTTAGAAACCTATTTATGATGTTTCGTATCAGGAAGACTCAAACAGTGGGTGAAATGGTTCCCTTGGGCAGAAATACTGGTATAATACATCATATCACTCATCAGCTAAAGAGACTCCATTTAAAATTGTGTACAGTTGTGGATGGTCGGTTATGATCACGATACAGGTGTTACTTTTCATGTAGATGACTATCTTTGGCAGAGAGATAAGGTGTTGGAAGAGCTTAAGAACAATTAGGATGGGCCCAACAAGTAAGGAAGGCACATGATGATTGGAGAAGGCGAGATGTGAAATATCATGTCGGTGATATGGTTTATTTGAAGTTGCGACTATATTGTCAAAACACGGTGATAGGGAGGCGTAATACCAAGCTAGCACCCAGATTTTATGGTCCGTTTAGAGTTTTGGAATAGGTGGGGATGTTGGCTTATCGGTTAGAATTACCGACTTCTATCGCCATTCACCCGGTTTTTCATGTTTCATAGCTTAAGAAAGTCGTAGGTGACCAAGAGGTTTTATCCGGTTTACTGGATAGGTTGACGATACAATGGAAGTATGGGTTACGGATGAGCATAAGAGGGTACCCGCCTCATTTGGCGAGAACCGGAACTGTAATCGGCAGTTCCTAGAAAGTTAGAACCAGAACCGGAACCGCTCTAGGCAGTTCTTAAATGTTTGGAACCAGTCCCGGAACTAGCGGTTCCGGTTCTGGGAGCAGGTAACCCGGTTACATTAATTTTGTTATCTTTTGTCGATAAAACCGCGATTTAGTTCAATCCAAATCAAATAAATTTGGACCAAATACGGAAAAAATCGGACCAATATATTCTAAACCAGTCTAAGTAACACATATTTATATGAAATTATATATATATATATATATATATATATATATATATATATATATAGAGAGAGAGAGAGAGAGAGAGAGATAGAGAAAGAGAGAGTTAGGTTCAAATATTTTCAAGTATTGTGTGCATGGATGCACCAATCACAATTTAGCAAATTATTAATTATTTTGTTTAATATGTGAGGGTAATAATGTTATCTTTCATTTTAATTATTTATTTAGTCTGATTCTTATCCCTTTATATTAGGAAATAATTTATGATTGATTTAGTTAACATTAGTTTAATTTTCGTTATATAATCGATTCAAACGTCCCCCCCCCCCCCACATAGATCACAATTGTCGAATCCATTAGCTGTTTATCAATTTGTTTTACACAATCGATGGATGTTCATACTGGAAATTGGAACCAGGTATTCATACATTATTAACAACATCTGTCTATGATAATGAAGATATTTTTCAAACGTCCCCCACACACCCTTTTACTGTTTTTACATATACATATGTATCAAATATGATAATCTTCTAGGAAAATGAAGATCAAAATCCCGGGAAGGATTTGGGTAATATCAATGATCCCAAGAATCTGGTGAATGAAGTTGTGAAAAAAAAAAAGATGTAAAACATGCTTTAGATTTGGTCATGATAGCAGGATCTGTCCTTTTGGATTGAAGAAAACATAGAACTACAAGAAATTCATCAAATTCGTCGTCTTTAGATATTGTTTAGTTTGATTTCAGTAAAATAAAAGTATGTTTTCGATGATTTATATGGTATTAAGTTTCAGTTCAGTGTAATAAAATTATCGTTTTATGAATTCAGGTGTTTTTCTTTAATTATTATGTTTACAACTAATAAGATGTTTGTGTCTTTCTGGTATATTTATGTTTATAGGATCATACAGTTTATCATTTCAACAGAATGTCAAAGTAAAACATTACATTTCACATTCCAACATTATGCCAAAAAATAACGTTCATTATATTTCATTCAATATGTTTGATGTTTCATAAAATCAAAACACATAATGTCAAAAAATGTAAATTGTAAACCATGAGCAATACAAATAATTGAACTTAAACAGTTTAAGAGTTACAGTAAACATTTTTGTTAGCTATATTGTTATATTATTCTAGCAGAATGATATTCAATGTGTGCATTGATTCGAGGTAACATAAATTGATAAGTTTTATAAGTCATATTGCTAGAGTATTCTCATAGAATTATGTCATTCTGATAACATGCAGAGTTCTGGAATCAATATTGATATATCATTCTAATACAATGTTGTCGTTAGTAAAATATTGTGCAATTTAAAAAAAAATGCATAATAATATTGTTAAGTAATTAATTTAACGTACTATTGGAATTTTTTATATTTGGAATGTGAATATAGTATCTTATGAATACTTTTATCTTTATCATGTTTAAAAAAAATCAAATCAGAATCATGTATTTTTATCAGTGATCCCTAATATCATGCCTTTTAATTTGCATAGAATCCGTTTTCATCCCTATTTAGTTTGTATGACAGTTTATAATATTTTATTTTTTCAACTTCCAAAGCATATACAAACACTATGGAAACTTCTTAGGTATGGTCGATCAAGAACCAGATGTCAATAATCATATTTATGAGGAACATTATTTGGCTAGTGATGATGACAATGAAATTGAAGATTTTGATTTTCCTGATAATGATACACTATATAATGGCGGATTTCAAATAGGAGAAAGCAGTAATCCTAATTTAGGTGAGTTTTTGAATTTTTTGTTTAATTTTTCATTGTATTACAGATTCTATATTGTAACAAACATGTTTAATGTTAAATGTTAATATTTTCATTGATGAACATACATAGGACGCAAATCATGCAGAAGACGAAAATCACTTCTTTGATGAAGATACAGAGGTTAATATCGATTTCAGTGAAGGTACTAAATTCAATTCAGGATATTGAAATTTTTACAGAAAAATAAAATTCTTTCAGAATAATATTTATATAATTCTTTCAGAATAAATTTGTTTTGCTATGTTTAAGCAGGACAACCACATGTTAGACATTATTACGTTTCTCCTGGTGGCACCTTGTATTGGACCCCGATTGTTTCAGATGATATCAAACCAAAAGTTTCATCAAAATTTAATTCATATGGTGAAGTAGAAACAATGTATAGAAACTATGCATTAGAATCTGGTTTTGATGTCAGGCTTGGAAGAGTCCAAAAAACGAAAAATGAGATTATTACAAATAGGCATCTTGTATGCAATTGGGAAGGTAATCCAAATACCAGTAAAGTAAATACTCTGGACATTCAGCATAAAAAAACTCAAAGAAGGAAAGATTTATTTAGGAGGGATTGTAAAGCGAAAGTTGTTTTATAAATAATTCTCGGTACTCTTAGATATGTCGTGAGCAATTTTGTCGAGCAACATAATCACGAGTTTTTTTTAACAAGGGTAATATGTACTTATCTCGTTCAAAGAGAAAACTTGATTATTCCCAAGAAATTTTCATTCATAATTTGTCAAAACAAAGTATTGGTCCTGTAAAAGCACATAGATTGTATAGTGCTCTTCAGGTCGGTCCTTCGTTTCGAGGTGGATTGGTTTATGATTTCAAGAATGCTAGGAGAAATCTTAATTGTTGCATAGGTAGAAGGGACGCGAAATTCCTTGTTGACAAGATGAATGACAGGAAGAAAAATGTCCCATCATTTACTTTTAAGTATAAAGTGTTGAACAAAAGACTGGATGGTCTATTTTGGGCTGACGAAACAGCAAAGTATAACTACAATTCGTTCGGAGACGTTGTATCACTCGATGCCACATTCAGCATGAATAAGTATTTCTAACCTTTAATACTTTTACGATAAGAATTTCATTGTTTTCAGTTATGTAAACTAATATTTTATTTTTAAAATAGGTGTGATATGGTTTTTGTTTCATTTACTGGCATCGATAACCACAAAAAATGTGTAAAATTTAGTGTTGGACTTTTAAGTAAAGAAGATGGATTTTCTTATGAATGGTTGCTTAGAGCTTTTTTGAAATCTTTTAGAAAACAACCTCAATTGGTTATATCTGACCAAGATCCATCTTTGAAAAAAAGCTATAGATAAGGTTTTCCCGTTGGCACATCATAGGTTATGTATGTGGCATATAACAAAGAAGTTGCCAAATAAGGTATGCATCAAACGAATATTATTCTTATTTTTTGTTATGATTCTACAATTATTTTCTCATATTCTAACAGAATCAATTGCTTTAATAGAATCAATTGCTTTAACTCTTATTTTTTCTTATGATTCTACAATTATTTTTTCATATTCTACATTCATTTTCTCATATTCTAACATAATCAATTTATACAAATTTTATCAATTGAAGATGCAGAAACCAATCAAAATTTTCGAAAGCGTTTTCACTCTATAATTTGGAATTTAAAGCTGGAACCACATGACTTCGAGAATGTATGGCATATGATGTTGGAGGAGTTTAAAATTACTGATAACAGTTGGATGAATACCATGTATGGTTTGCGAAGATCTTGGATCCCCACATTTTTCAAGCACATTCCAATGTCCAGTCTTATGCGAACTACATCACTATCTGAAAGTCAGAATTGGTCATTTCAAACCACCACATTAACCGGTTCTTATCTTATCATGTTTATGATGAAATTTGAATCAGTCATGGAACGACAAAGACATAACCAAATTCTCAATGATTTTAATATTGCCACCACTTTTCCTAAATTCATTACCCGTAGTCCGAATCAACCTCATGCTTCAAATGTATATACGTGCAAGATTTTTTATCAAGTTCAGAAGGAGATATCAAGAGCTGAAGATAATTGTTTCCAAAAGAATGTGATACCTTCCAACGGTGTTGACACAATTATTGTTTTGGAGAAAAAAAACAACATAACTACCAGGCAAACAAATGATGTCGATGTTGATGACAAAGACGAGGAATACAATTACGATTGTCTTATAAGGGATACTGAATACACGATATATTTTTTTCACATTAATTGTCATTTTATCATTTCAATTTAAACACTAAAAAATTATAACTTAAACATTCTCACTAATCATCTTATATATTCCAGGTCACACACTCAACCATAGATGGTTCATTCAAATGTACTTGTATGCATTTTGAGCATGTAGGGATCTTATGAAGACACATATTCTGTGTGTTTAAGTTTTATGGCATTGAACAAATTCCTAAAAAGTATATTTTGAAACGTTGGCATAGGGATGTGATTCCAACAGAATTACTGAAAAGACGCTTCAATAGTTCTTTTGACAATTCTAATTCCGACATGACTGCTATTGATATTTTTTCAACTGTTGACCGTTGTATGTCTTTTTTGAGTCATGATGCAGCTAAGTTAAAGTTATACCTTGACGAGCAGAATAAGTTAAAAAAAATTCGTAGACAATTATCCAAATCATGATCTACCAACCAGATAAGAACAGTTCAAGAAGCTTCTAGGCATGGTAGGTCCTGATGTAGTATCTGATGTTAGTGACATTCAGAATTCTACAGATATACGTAACAAAGGTTGTGGTAGTCGTGCGAAAAGATTAAAATCTACAAAATAGATGATTGAGAAAGAAAGCTCGGAACCTAAGAGAGAGTGTGCTACATGCGAACAGATGATGCATCATGACAAAAGAAAATTTCCTCTAAAGAACGCCCAAAAATAATTTCCTTGTTTGTTTTTTTATTGGTTTTAGTAGAATGACATTTCATTATAATTTTGTGGGTTCACATTCATTGTTATCTTTTATGTCATTTAATAAAGTATTCACATTGATTGCTAGTGACGATGACATTGTTAATTAATATAACAATATTTATCTTTTATTATTACTTAAAAATAATCATATAACGTAATACAAATATTAATTCCATCAATTGTATAAATTCATTATTTTCTTTACTTACAGCAAGTTATACAACTTTTTTCAATCATTTTAAGATTGATTTTCATTTTAACAAAAATGTTTTATTGCTTAGTATAGTATACGAACAATGTGTACAATTTATATACAAGAATTCATTATATCATATTTTCTTTCAAAAAGACTATATATTACGTAAACATATTCATTCCAAAAGAATTTTATATATAAACATACATTTTTCACCTACATCCAATTTACATACAAGTATTCTTTATAACATTTTTTTCTGAATTATACATTTACACACGCATATTTAATTTCAAAAAAGGTACATTATACCAAAATATATGTTTCTCATCTACATCCAATTAATAGAAAATAAAAAATTACTGCTAGAATAATAATAATATAAAACTACTCTATCTGCATCAAAAAACTATAACAAAGCCCAGGCACACAATATATGAAGTGGATGAAATTACTTCATATTTCCTAAACATAACCATTCCAAAAGAATTTTATATTTTGATTTTTTATGTATTATACATGTACACACACATACTTCATTTCAAAAAGGGTACATTATACCGAAAGATCCATTCGTCATCTACATCCAATTAATAGGAAATAAAAACCTATAACATATTCTACCATAATCATAACATTTACTATATTATATCAACATAAAAAAAACTATAAAAAACATTCCAGTCACACAACATTATTAACAACAACCTTGAATTATATTAACAACATTATTACAAAAAATACATCAACACATACATTATTAACAACAACCTTCAATTATATCTAAAAAAATCTTCATAATTTAATACTAAATTTTATTCATAAACAACCCAACAAAAACTTATTATTAAACTACTTCCCATTCTATCAGAATTGATTTTCACAATGCACAACATCATCATCCCATAATTTAAACAATGCATCAACATAACCTTTATATCAAAATTAATATTCCATTATAAGATATAAGCTTAAATACTGATAACAATACTTCATAACTTCTGAAAGACAAATTACTTTTTCAAACATCTAACATAATGTAGAATCGTGTTTGAACAACCAAAAAAAAGTTCAGCTCATGCCATGTCAATATTTATCTTAAAAAAACCAAACTACCACTTCAAATTCTTACCTACGACCCTTTGCTTTTCTTTTCTTCTTCCTATTTTCAACTGACTCTTGAAGAAGCATATCTTATTCCAAAATACCCAGCTTACAAAAAGCTTCAAAATTTTTAACCATCATAGTCTTAAACTTATTGAACTCAGATGTCAACAATCTTGCCATGTATTTCATCCTTAACTTAATTATAGCACTCACATCACCAGGCATTTTACCTGTAAGACCACACTCCCAACGCCCTTCATTTTCCCCCATGTAACTTTCCATATGCCTCATGAGGTATACTCCACATTCTGTTCCATCTTTTTCTACTTGCCAATATATGTAATCAGGGACGGACGCAGGATTCTTTAGTAGGTGTTTCCGGTCCGTAATAGGTGTTGCCAGTGGCACATTTTATAGTAGAAAAAAGAAAAAAAATTGAAAATTTTGCACTACGTCGGGAAAAACTAGGTGTTGCTGGTGCCACCGTTGGCACCATATATTCGTCCTTGGATATGTTCATCACCCGTCCCACCTTAAAAGTTAAGGCTTTTGCCATTGGATGATGTTGTGATGTCAAGTAGTTGCAAAACAGTTTTTTCTGTCATTAAATACAACAAATACATCAAACATAGTCTTATAACATTCTTTAGAATGAAAACCTAGTGATTGGAATTTTATTGACTATCTTACCACCAGGTTTGGTATCATGCCATACTTTCTTTCCAAAGTTCTTGTTCTCTTCACATGATCTACTATGTAGTATAAACTTGATCTCATATCAAAGATGAGTAAGTAATACTTCCCATCATCAACTATTGAGAAGAAAACCATCTACACATTAAAAAAAGAAGTTAATTTAATATTAATTGATGCAACAAATATTACATTTACTAAATAAACTTACAAGCACACCATCTCTAAAACTTGGCTTGACATCAAATTTCGTAGTGTAGATTCGCAATAGAGTAGAAAAAAGCCTACATTTTAGATCTTCCAACTTTAATTCATTCAATATCTCTTCTGTCTATAAAAACCCACATCAACAACAATATTAATTCTACAAAAATAAATTTGAATTTAAAATTAATTTATAAAATAAATTTATACCACAATAGTGTTGGATTAGTGTCTAAGTCCATAACTATTTTGGTATGTACTTGACCCGATGGTGCATGGTCCTTTTGGGTTGCCATCACCAAAACAACTTGATAGGATGGATTATGGAGAGTAAGGATTAAATATGATTTACTAATATATTATGGGAATAATATATTAAAGGAGAAATCATATTGTTTAATTAATATTAGTCAATAATTAATTGGTAATTAGTTTTGTGACTAAAAGAGATTAATTAAACTTAAGGGACTGGAATTGTAATTATAGGATAGTTGCAATTTGGGCCATGGATTGCCTTGTATTAAGGGATGGACGAATTCTAATGGGAAACCCATAAGGAAATCGTCCATGGGCTTAATTAAAGGAGTCTATGGGTTGCTTAGGGCTTAAGCATCCAAATTAGGGTTTCCTTGTTAGATAACCCTAATAGCCCAACTATATAAAGACCCCTTAAGGCTCAAAAACGTGGCTAAGCTTATTGTAAGGGTTTACACACGTTTTTGGCAGCCTCCAACCTCTCTCCTCTTCATCCTCTTGCTTATGGTGTTTGTGAACCATTAGAGGAGTGACACTTGTGACTCTAAGCCTTCCAAAGTCAATCAAGGAGATTTGGATTGTTATTGCTACATAACAATCAAGGTAACATTATAAACTCATTCTTATGTTAATATGATTACTTAATGCTA